GTACCCCCCCCCAAACACACACACACACACTCACCTCTCAAACCTATGGATATTCTCGTCATGAGAGGTCATCTGGTGTTTGACGCTCTTGTCGCGGCGAAACCGGCTCGACACACTGCTGATCGTACTCATGTGGTGGCTCACTTTGTCCGAACTGAAACACCACGGAAATAATAATTGTAGAAGTTTTACACAGCAAACCTTACCCATCAAGATTCAGTAAGAGTTTAACAGCACTTGAAACACAATTAGGTCATACAAGTGCTGAAGATTAGAGGGGTTACAAGAGAGCGCCATATAAAGGAGAGATAAGGAGGAGAGATAAGGAGGAAGGAGGAGAGATAAGGAGGAAGGAGGAGAGATAAGGAGGAGAGATAAGGAGGAGAAATAAGGAGGAGAGATAAGGAGGAGAGATAAGGAGGAGGGATAAGGAGGAGAGATAAGGAGGAGGGATAAGGAGGAGAGATAAGGAGGAGAGATAAGGAGGAGAGAGATAAGGAGGAGAGATAAGGAGGAGAGATAAGGAGGAGAGATAAGGAGGAGAGATAAGGAGGAAGGAGGAGAGATACGAAGGAGAGATATGGATGACAGATGTAGGAACGAAACCAAAAGCAAACCACACCAGAGCACCTGCCAGCCCCCCACTTCCCCACCAGGCCTTAACATGGAATCCACAAGGAAAGAGAAAGAAAGGAAGGCGTGAAAGTACGAGGAAGACTGAGGGGTGCTGACAAAAATGAGTTACTTTTCCCAACCTAAGAATGGAGAAAATGGATCGAAAATTGAAACTGGGGTCAGATTTATAAATTTTCATTTGATGCCATTTTCTTCAAGTCTAGCGGGTCTTTTATTCTTCCATATTTACAAATAGTACAAACTCCACCTCTAAAGTTGATGTATCAATTTCCATAAGGTTAAAGTCCAAGAAGTAACTTCCTCTCTCACCACTTTTCGTCGCCACACACCGCCGACACTTTGCAGGCAAAAGCCTTCACATCGTCCAATCTCTTCACCAGACCCTCGCGGTACTGCTCGATCTCAGAGTTACGCTCCGTAGCCTGCTCACACACACAGAGAGAGAGAGAGAGAGAGAGAGAACATAGAATGAATAAACACTGAACTGCCTATACAGAGAGAAAGCATATGTGTCTGAACGCGGTGGAACCAGGCGCTCGTCTTGGAACCAGGCGCTCGTCAACTTTTGAGCATGTACAGTTATTGGTATTGCATTTGCTGGTTCATTTGCCTTGCTTTCAGTGAAAGAGTTACTCATTTATCATGAGGACATGTCAAGAAATTTTCGATTGAATGAGATGGGGGTCACCCAGTTTCAGAGGTAAGATTAGGGAGAATATGGCTACCAAAGCTGGGTTATCTACAAAGCCCCAGAGTGCCTGAAAATTGAGGATTTACGTATTTTGTGCCTTTCCAATACAACTCACACTGAAACAAGTTCTTAAATGGACACAGAAGATGTTGAGCCCAAAAAATATTTTTTTTACAAACCAGCAGAAAAGTGTCAGTTTCTTTTCTTTCATTATTTTGACGAGCGCCTGATCTCACCACGCAGCCTCAAATATAATGAACGAATTAACACTGTATTCCACAAACATAATAATTATATAAAAATAATATAATGAATACACAATGTACTGCCCAAACAGAGGCATCATGGTCAAATCAGGCGTGAGGCATCATGGTCAAATCAGGCGTGAGGCATCATGGTCAAATCAGGCGTGAGACATCGTGGTCAAATCAGGCGTGAGACATCATGGTCAAATCAGGCGTTAGTCCAAATAATGAAACCAAAGATATCTGCATTTTTCCCCCAGTTTGACATTTTTTTTCTCTAATTTTTGTGTTTTTGGCTCAACACCTTTTGTGTCCATTTAAAAAGATATTTCTGTGTGGATTTAACTGAAAACCAATGACTAAAGACTCAACAAATGTACATTTTCAGCTTCCAAGTACTCTCAAGCTTTGGAAATCACCAAACTTTGACGCTCATTTTTTCGCTAATTTTACCTCTACAACCAGGCGTCCCCGATCTCTTTCAATCGCAAATATCTCAACCTCTATTTAAGTTCGACGTGTATAATTTTCAAAGAGACATAGTCAAATGAACAAGCTGTCAGATAAAACCAACAACTCCAGACGCGCAAAAATTGACGAGCGCCTGATTCCAACACGCCGCAATACATATTTTGCTCTAGTAGAGAGTTTTACGGCACTTGCAACACAATAAGGTCATCTAAGTGCCAAAGATTAGAGGTGTTACAAGAGATTGACAAACACAAAAAAGGAGGAGGAGAGATAAGGATGACAGATGTTTGATAGGAAAGAAGAAGCAGACCACACCAGAGCACCCGCCAACCACCCACTAACACATAAAACATATACATGACATATAAACAATACACAGCTAAAACAGATCATAATATGTGTAAGGCTGCGGTAGAATCAGGCGCTCGTCAGCTTTCGGCATCTTCTTGCTACCCACCTTCTTGTGCACCAAAACTATGTTGATGCAGGAGTAAAACTCTCTCGGGCACCTAAACTATGTCCGTCTGCTGGGACATTTCAGTAAGCCACTTTCAGCTCTTTTCAAGGACCCGCGGGCAAGTGTTGAGTTCCTGCGTGGTGTCGGCATCGCTGACCGTTTAAGACGCCACAGTGCCAGAAGAAAAAGAGAGAGAGAGAGACCTAAACTATATCGATGCAGGAGTAAAACTCTCCGACACTCAGCACCCACCTTCTTGTGCACCTGACGTATGACTGAGTCCTGCACAATGTCGTCCAGTAGCGCCAGCTCGGGTCGGTCCGGCATGCGACAGGCCACCGTGTCGCGGAGAGCCAGTGCCATGTTGAAGAACATGTCTATGTGGACCTTGCAGTCGTCCATCAGCTGACGCATCGAGTCCTGGCTCACCTTGGTCGCCTGGAGACGTGTCTCCACGTACAGCCTGGTGTGATGAGAGGGGGAGGGAGGAGTGGGGGGGGGAGGGGGGCGGGAGAGGGGGAGGGAGGAGGGGGGAGGGGGGGAGAGGAGGGGGAGAGGAGGGGGGCGGGAGAGGGGGAGAGGAGGGGGGCGGGAGAGGGGGAGAGGGGGAGGGAGGAGGGGGGAGGGAGGAGGAGGGGGGGAGAGGTTAGTTTCTGTTTTAGTAGGTAAGAGTTTTACGGCGCTTGCAACACAGTTAAGTCATACAAGCGTTGAATATTAGCGGCGTTACTAGAGTGTAACATACAAAGAAAAGAAGAAGGAGAGATAAGGACGACAGATGTTTCGAAGGAAAGAAGGAGGAGAGATAAGGACGACAGATGTTTGGAAGGATAGAAGGAGGAGAGATAAGGACGACAGATGTTTGGAAGGAAAGAAGGAGGAGAGATAAGGACAACAGATGTTTGGAAGGAAAGAAGGAGGAGAGATAAGGACGACAGATGTTTGGAAGGAAAGAAGGAGGAGAGATAAGGACGACAGATGTTTGGAAGGAAAGAAGAAGGAGAGATAAGGACGACAGATGTTTGGAAGGAAAGAAGGAGCACACCCTACCTTCAGTACACGTTCACTGACCTGAAGTACAAGAGCCCGTCCATCAACTTCTGCTGCTGACCTTGAACCTTGTTCTGGAACCGCCGGATGAGCTCGGCGCGGGCCGCACAGTTGTGAGCCAATCGGGCGTCGCTATCCATGTCTGCGTAGGCCGAGAACTCTGGGAAAGGAGCTGGAGGGACATTTGTCACAACATTAGGAACGTTTACTCAATATTCACAGGGAGCACGAGGCAGGGGTAGGCCACAGGAAACATGGAGGAGATGTGTGGAAAGGGACATGAGAGAGATGAAGCTCACTTGGAACGAGTAAGAAAGGATGGCCCAGGACAGAGATAAATGGAAGGAGCTTGTATGTGGCCTATACCCTGCAGGGGTGAAAGGTATTGATGATGATGCTGACCATGATGACTATATAATAGGAACATGTTTGAAAGTATTAGGAAAAGAAACTTAATTTTAGGAACATGTTTGAAAGTATTAGGAACATTTACTAAATATTAGGACTAGGAACATGTTTGAAAATACTAGGATCAGTAACTAAATATTATGAAAAATGTATTAAATATTAGGAACGTTTACTCAATATTAGGAACATGTTTGAAAATATTAGGAACAGATACTTGATATTTGGAAAATGTTTTAGAATATTAGGAACATTTACTAAATATTTCATTTTTTAAGTTTTAAACAAATTTTAGATACCACGAACATTTGTCAAAATCTTGGAAAATTTTTTTTGAATAGTAAGAAATTTAAAAAAACATTGCGTAGCGGTTTTCAAATACAGTTGAAATTGTCTAAGATGGTAACCCATGGCTGAGGAGAATAGTGGTTGTCTTAGACAGGTGGATGTCTTACAGTGTCAGTAGAATGTAAGAAATAGGCAAGACAGGTAGCCACTATAGTTCAACTGCAGTAACGGTGAGTTCTAGTTCGGAATCGTTGAAAGAAAACAAAACCCCCAAACATTACGACAGTTCTGAGTTCTAATTCTGAGTCACTCAAAAAACCCCAAAAAACCCAACCAAAAAACAAAATGATGTGAGTTCTAGTTCTGAGTCGCTAAAACAAAAACAAAATGATGTGAGTTCTAGTTCTGAGTCGCTAAAACAAAAACAAAATGATGTGAGTTCTAGTTCTGAGTCGCTAAAACAAAAACAAAAACAAAAAACCCCACAGGACAGCTTTTAGTTCTAGTTCTGAGTCGCTAAAACAACCCCCCCCCCCTCCCCCCAAAAAAACAACAACATTAGGACAGGTACGAGGTCTAGTTCAGAGCCTAACATCACTGCTGACACAAGAGAAACCTTTATCACTTCGGCCACCCGAGCAAAGAAATGAACAGCCAATCAGGATCTCTGAAGGAAAAGTAAATGTGTCACGACGCGGTGGAATCAGGCGCTCATCATTCCGGTCTCCGGACATATGGAGTTATTGCTATCATCTTACAGCTTGTTCATTTGCCTTGACTTTGGTGGAAAAAAAATCCATCTATCTTGAATAGAAGTCGGGATATTTGTGATTGAAGGAGGTCAGGGTCGCCAGATTTCAGAAGTAAAATCCGTGGGAAAATGGCCGCCAAAGTTATGTGACTTCCATAAATTGAGAGTCCTTGAAAGGTGAAAATTTACATTTCTTGTGTCTTTCATCACCATTTTTCTGCAACATCCACACAGAAATGTGTTTTTAAATTGACACAAAAGGTGTTGAGCTCTAAAAAAAGAACGTTCGGAAAAAATTGCCCAGCGGCCAGAAAAAGACCAATTTCTTCGACTTCGTTATTTTGACGAACGCCTGATTTCACCACAATGCCTCACAAAGCCTCCCCAAAAACAAACGCCGCTCACGTATTTCCGGCTTCTGTAGGCGCGTAGAGTCGGACATCTCCTTCTGGAAGAGGTAGATGCTGTCGACGAGGAGTCGCGGGGGGTAGTTGTGGAGCGGACACATGGGGTCAACGACCTGGTCAAGACAGTGTCCTCCCACCAGCAGGATCTGCTCACTCGCTGAGATGTCCGTCAGCGACGCAATCAGGTCCTGGAGCCCTGGCAGCCTGGTCAGTCATTCAGGGATTGATTGAGTGATTGATGAATTGATTAATTGTTAGATTGAGTGATGGATGGATTGATTGTTTGATTAATTGATTAATTGACTGATTGAATGATTGATGGATGGATTGATGGATTAATTGATTGATGGACTGATTGTTTGAAGGATAGATTGATGGATTAATTAATTGATGGATTGATTGATTGATTGACTAACTAAAAAAACACACAAATCCCTTCCCCCATTACAATATTTTTTATATTAATTGGTATCATTATCATTGTTATCATCATTATTATCATTGTGGTTATATTAAGAGTCAGTGGTGCGTTCGCTCACGTGGTGTTCTGATCAGCGTAGACCTTGAGGTCCTCGCAGCGGCTGAAGTGGAACACGCTGACTGTGCGCTTCTGACGCACGTTCTCCACGATCTTGAAGAAGGTGTCGTAGGTGATCATTTTAGCTTCGTTCGGCTCCATCAGACCGGCGAGGAGGGGAACCACGATTGACTGGAGCCCGCTGGGGACACACACACAGACACACACTCATAAACACACACACATAAATATACACACAGACACACACACATAAACATACACAGATACACATTCATAAACACACACATACACACACAAATAAACATACACGCTCACATAAACACACACACTATGTTTTAGTATTCTAGCTTGTTCACTTTCGTCTGTTCGCGTTAAAAAAAATTCTAGCTCATTTATTTATTTATCTACGCCCATGAAACTTTGCATGGCACTTCTGCAGGCCAGCGACCAGGCATATTTTCAGGTCCCAAACATTTTTCTTCAACATTATAAGCTTTGTTTGTACCTAAAACAGATACGTTGTGATATCGCATGCAACAAACAGATACGTTGTGATATCGCATACAACAAACAGATACGTTGTGATATCGCATACAACAAACAGATACGTTGTGATATCACATACAACAAACAGATACGTTGTGATATCGCATACAACAAACAGATACGTTGTGATATCGCATACAACAAAAAGATACGTTGTGATATCGCATACAACAAACAGATACGTTGTGATATCGCATACAACAAAAAGATACGTTGTGATATCGCATACAACAAACAGATACGTTGTGATATCACATACAACAAACAGATACGTTGTGATATCGCATACAACAAACAGATACGTTGTGATATCGCATACAACAAACAGATACGTTGTGATATCACATGCAACAAAGAGAAGTCCACGCCCCACTGATTTCTGATTTCACTGTGTGTGTGCTAGACTGTTTTATCATCTGTTTCCTTCTTCTTCTTTTTATTCGTCTCCTTCTCTTTCTAACTGAGGGTGCGGTGGTGGAGCGGTTAGTGCACTCGTCTCCGAAGCGGAAAGTCCAGGTTCGAGCCTCAGTTCAGACACAGATTTTTTTTCGCCCCCTCCTGCCCACCCAGCAGTAATGGGTACCTGACTTCGAGTTGGGGAAGTAAAGGCGGCGTGGAAAGGAACTGGCCACCCTACCACAATATGCCAAAGGCCCAGGAAGTTGTCTCACTAACAAGGCAATCCCCAATGTCCGGATTGGATGTGGGAAAAACTTTTCTTTTCTCCTTCTACCTATCCTATGGGCTGACCTTGAGAGCGGCGATGTCTCGGGCAAGTCCCTCTTCCACTGGATCGGTCCATTCTGGAAGCTCTGGACTCCCGAAATGACGCCGCTCTCCTTCTGGGTGATGATCTGAAACCTGGGGTGGGGGGGAATAGGAGAGATTGTTTTAGTAAGGTTTTACGGCGCTCGCAACTGCATACGGTCATATGAGCGCTAAGGGGTGGATGTCAAAAGAGAAGTCCTTACAGGGAATCAGACTTACTCTGCTCATCTCTCTAGCTTCAACAACACAAAGTCTACTTCGACTATCAAGGCACCCCGGAAATAGCGGGTCACAAGAGTGTGACAAACATACAAAAGAAGTAGAAGAAAACGACGATAGTAAGGATGAGGAAAGAAAAAACAGCAGTTCCCCCTATGTTGTTCCGGCACAGTATGAGCATGACATTGGTAAATCAGCCCATTTACAATTCTACTGTGCATAAGAACATGTTAATATCCCCCCTTTGGGAATGGCCTAAAGACACTTCAGTCAGTGGCACAAGACGAGTAAAGCAGTAAAGTTTCACTCGACTTACATGGTTTCTTGATTTAGAATATCATTATTATTATTGTAATCATATAATGATCATGATGATTATTATTATTATTAACTTTATCATTATTGAGTATAAAAGAAGATTAAAACAGCAAACTATCGCTGGACTTACATGGTCTGTCGGTTAGATCGCCCCCCGTGAGGTTGGAAGGGAAGCTGACCCGTCGCTGTGTGGTAGAACGTGACCCCCAGAGACCAGAGGTCGACCTTGGCATCGAACGACTGGGCAGTGGGCAGTTTGAGGACGGCTCTCTCGTAGATGCCGGGATGCTGGGAAGGTTTGCAGTAACGACAGTAATAAATACAACATGTAACTGTAGATGGGGCCACAGTAATAAATACAACATGTAACTGTAGATGGGGCCACAGTAACGACAGTAACAAATACAACATGTAACTGTACATGGGGCCACAGTAACAACAGTAATAAATACAACATGTAACTGTAGATGGGGCCACAGTAACGACAGTAATAAATACAACATGTAGAAATGTGGTTTCTTATGGGACTGTTGAGAACTTCACGGAAGAAAAAGAAATCAAATGAGTTGCTCAGCGTCAGACTCAGCCATATGTGAGGCAGCGTGGTGGAATCAGGCTCTCGTCAAAATAATCAAAGTGATGAAACTTGCATTTTCCCGCCGGTTTGTGAATTTTTATCAAATTTTTGTTTTTTGGCTCAACACCTTTCATGCCCATTAAAGAACTCTTTTCTGTGTGGATTTTTCTGATTAAAGGTACAAAAAAAGTAAGTTTTCAGTTACCACGGACTCTTAAGCTAAGGAAATAACTAATCTTTGGCGGCCATTTTCTCACTAATTTTACCTCTGAAAACAGGTGACTCCACCTCCTTCTTTTGCAAATATCTCGACTTGTTTTCAAGATAAATGGATATTTTTTTCATCCAAATAAAGACAAATGAACAAGCTTTAATACGACACCAATAACTCTACATGTCCAAAAATTGACGAGAGCCTGATTCCACCATGCTGCCTCACAAATGTGTCACGACGTGGTGGAACCAGGCGCTCCTTAATTTGTCGGCGTGTACAGTTATTGTAGAGTTATTGTAGAGTTATTGTAGAGTTATTGTAGAGTTATTGTAGAGTTATTGTAGAGTTATTGTAGAGTTATTGTACAGTAATTGTACAGTTATTGTAGAGTTATTGTACAGTTATTGGTATCCTCTTAAAGCTTGTTCATTGTCTTGTTTTTGATGGAAAAAAAACTCCATTTATCTTGAATATAAGAAGAGTTGTTATCCATTGAAGGAGATTGAAGGCGGTCGCCGGGTTTCAGAGGTAAAATTAGCGAGAAAATGGCCCCAAAGTTTGGTTTTTTCCATAGCTTGAGAGTCCTTGAAAACAAAATGTACATTTTTGGTGCTTTTAATCAACGTTTTTCAGTAAAATCCCCACAGAAATGAGTTCTTTAATGGGCATGAAAGGTGTCGGGCCAAAACCCTAAAATTTGATATAAATTGCCAAACCAGTTGAAAAAAATGTCAGTGTCTACAATTTCATTAGTTTGACGAGTGCCCAATTTCACCACACTGCCTCACATACATACGCCATCTTGAAAAGTGACGTACAACAGAGTCTCACACTGGGTAGCTGAAATGAGGTATAGCTTGCTTTATGTTTTAGTTAGAGTTTTAGGGCGTTTGCAACACAATAAGGTCATATAAGCGCCGAAGATTAGAGGTGTTACAAGAGAGTAACAAACATAAAACAGAAGGAGGAGAGATAAGGACGATAGATGTTTGATAGGAAAGAAGGAGAAAACCACACCAGAGCACCCGCCAACCACCCGCGAGGTGTTGCTGAAAGAACCGGGTCGCGCCCAACGTACCAGATACTCCTCCGTGCCGTAGAGAGACATGAAGCTCTCATCTTCATCCAGATTGCGGGCGGCTCCGAAATCCGTGAGCTTGTACTGCGAAAACCCTTCTAAGCTGAGATATCTGTCGGGGGAGGGACAAGATTGACAACGTAAAATGTAACAGTGTCGTAAAACTTCATGAAATAAAACATCGAAGCAGAGAGCGGGGAAAATGGAGGCTGGCTGCTGCGCGTAGCGGGTGGGGCACCGACAGACGATCACGACCATGGTATTCTAGAGTAGCCGTATGTTACTTGTTACCATTGTCGTGATCGTCTGTCGGTGCCCCACCCACTACGCACAGCAGCCAGCCTCCATTTTCCCCGCTCTCTGCTCCGATGTTATGAAGTTTTACAACACTGTTGCATTACCTCAGAATCACAAAATTCTGTCAGCTCAGTATCTCGTTAGGAGAAATTTGACGTTAAAAAATGTTGAGTTTCACAAAATGTCCGCCTTTGTTTCCTCTAAGCACAATACAGACACACAATACAGACACACAATACAGACACACAATACAGACACACAATACAGACACACACAGCACGGGGTCAGGGGACAGCTTACCTCATGATATTCCCGGGCTTTATGTCCCGGTGGACGACATTCTTGTCTCGGAGGTAGCGCATCCCTGCCGCTGGAAGACAGGTTTTGTTGTAGGGTTAGTAAAAAATTTTACAGCACTTGCAACACAATAAGGTCATATCAGCACCAAGGGGTGGATGTCAACAGAGAAGTCCGAACGGGAAATCAGGCTTACTCTGCTCACCTCTCTAGCTTCAA